AAGAGTGATGGGGTTGAGGATGCTGGTCCTCCAACTTGCGATGCAGAGTCCTGCGGTCCTAGTGCAGGTTCTGGTGAATTGCGCTGCGAGGCACGTGGGGTGCTTCCGTCATGTGCTGACTCGATGTTTGTATGCAGAATGTCATCCATTCTTTACCTGAACGTGGATGCGTATGCACGATCGGTTCCTTCCATTGTGATATAGATGTAGTTATACTAATTGAAAATGAAGCCTAGGTACTGCTTGTCCTTGACTTTTCCAATCTCCCTGATGATCTCGTCTAACCTGTTACGAAGCTAGGCGGCAATCACTTAGGAAAGGGGGGAGCTCACGAATGAGCCCCGAGCAAAAAGTTTCAAGTTTTCGATCACGTGACAGTAAGGGCACATGCAGTTACCAGATCAAGCATCCCTGTGGTGTGGGAAGAGCCCTATACCATTTCGGGATATTCCACCAAGTGGTAGACGCTTCACATCTACTGTGGGAAGATCTAGCAAGATTTACTGTATGTCTAACGTTCACGTTTCATACTTTTCATTTCTTTCTATTTCATATCAGACTATTTCATATTCCTCTATTGAATATTGGTATATTCCATATTGGTTCATTGCAGGTTTTCTATTTCAGTTTATACTAATATTCGCTCACCAATTACTTAGCTCGCAGCAGTTAGTATTCGTCTTGGTCTATTTTCTATTTTCTATCTTTAGCACTAAGGCTGTGTAGCAGACCCCATGTACTAGGACCCCAAACTATGGGGTAGGTAGTATATAAAGGGCAGAGCAGCAAGGCGGAAGACAACCTCTTCCACTTGTGACTCTGACGTTCTCACTGTCTAGAACCCTTGTGCAATCTACTATCTCTTAGAGGTGGCAAGCTCGTACCGCTTGCTGGGGACAGCGTCCATTGGCAAAGGCATCTGCCTTGCAGTAGACAACACTATAAACCAGAGATATGATCGTACGTGTGGAAGCTTCACGTGCGGAGGGTTCTAGTGGGGAACACTTCATAACATAACCTCTGCTGCTTCCCTATCTCCTTGAAGTTGATCCTTCCTATTTCTAGGCAGCACGTGTTGATGACCTGTTTGTCGACGAAGGTGTATTCACGAGTTC